ATTCCCTGTCAAAAAGTCCACTGTATGTGACTAAAATGAGGCAGAAGGCAGTGGTTTTCGTGATTAGACTTAAAGGTGTAGTGCATCTGATTTTATAGTCCAAAGATGATTTAATTCATAGTGATGTAGTAAACAAGGATGAAATAAAGCTCTGAAAGTTGTTTTTCAATACTGAGACTTAATGTTGATGCCAAAAGCTTCTATACAATCTCTACTGGTACTGAAAATATTTTACCAGAAACCACAGCTACATTAAAAATAGAGATTATGTAAAATAATGTAAAGCGTCAAACTGTGGTCAACTATATAGTTATTAAAAATCTGTATATCAGTGGGCTGTTACATAGCTGATTTTTTTATCACAGAACCATAGAGTGGCCTAGGTTAAATGGGACTTTTAAGATTATCAAGGTTATGGTTTGGTTTGGCTTGGCTTTTGCCAGTCAGGAACTAAAGACCACTTTGAGCATGTAAATTCTTCTTCCAAATTTTCCTTCTACCTTCTCCTTTAACTCTGGTGTAACCCTTGTATTGACAGAAATAGTATACAAAGTTATTGCTTTTTTTTCCTGCTCATATACCTTCTGATTAATGAAATGCAGCACAGTATTTTTTCTGTGCTGATCTCTCATTTCAAAATTCCATACCAAAGATTGGGCTGCAAAGATAAAAATCCAATCCACAATGATTTAAGGATGCACAGTAGGATTGTGAGTGGGGCATGAAGGAAAGTCAGAAAGGCTGGAATTAACTGTTTCAGCCAAGATACACAATCTAAAATGATACTTCTCTCTTAAGACAGAAAATGGAAGCATATTGACATTGTTACTAAGATTTGGCAAGAGATCTAGCATTTCTTAAGATGTCTTTATGTTCTGCCAAACATAGGAAGTGTCTTCAGAGTAGCTGAATAGCAAAGCTTTCCTACATTTCCAGGCCTAAAGAAAACATCTTTTTATTTGTGGTTTGTAACTTTACTTTTTCCAGCAGATTGCTTCTCCAAGATATTTTTTTCACCTCTGCTTGACTTTTCTAAAACAAAGAATACTGGAGTTAAGTTTCTATTTCCTAACCAGCAATTTTAGTACCCTGCAAACGTAGACATTGCTTAATGTTTGAGGAGACCAGGGAATAAACTGGAATGTCTTCACTGGATAAACCACATCTCACCAAAGAAAGGCCTTGTTCACTGTATTTAAACAGTTTTAAACATCTGTTGATTATATTGGAATGTGGACATCTAAAGCCCATGGTCTAAAGCATATTTCTGACTTTCATCTGGAAAATCAAGACTGAGTAAACTTAAGAACTCCAAATAAATCCAAACACTTATTTAAAGTTCAAGTGTAACTTGGACTACAACTGCCTGTACAACTCAAAGTATGCAGATGATTGCATACATAACAGCACAAGATTACACCCAAAGAAAACTGAAATGAATTGTTTTAATTTATTCTAACAGTTTCAAGAATCAGCAGGTCTTGCATCTCCAGTGTAAAGATGTCTCTAAGTGACTTTTTGGATGTGCATTTTGAATTTAGAAGAAGCCTGAATTTCATGAAGGAAATGGTCAGAATTTAGTGAATATCAGACCCCTTCTGGCTGTAAAATCTGACTGTCTGAGGTCACCTGCTACTTTTGAAGGTACTAGATAGAATTGTTAGACATTATTTGAGCATGTGGATTTAAACATGTATTTTAAACCTGAGAGAATTTACTCTCTTTTATTCACCTAACAGCACATATGCATTTCTAGTAATTTCAGCACAGCTATACCAAGTTTCCTTTACAGTTGAAGAATATCAACTTTTGGTCTCAAAAGCAAAGTGTTATGAAAACCTTTTCTTCTTTTCAGGCACGCTGATCTTCTAACACTGAGAATTGTGAGAAACCTTAACTAATTTTATTACCCAATCCCTGGATAGGTACTTTTAATAACCTAGATTTGTAGGTTAAAGAGCAGGAAAAAAATTAGAATCATCCAGAACCTTTTGTGTTCTGCTCTAGGAGTGTTCTAGAGCCACATATTTTCCTCAATATATAGACACTAATCCACCAAAATCAGAGCATTTACTCAAGAAATGTAGAAAAAGACTATTAGAAATATGAGTCAATATAGAAGATTTTGGAACTGATAGTAAATTATTTTTATACAAGTACTGCACTGATAAAAAATTTAGCTACATTTGGTAATATTAAAATTATCTGTTGGACTGGTAGGCTGAAATTGAGGGCTGGAAGAAAAAATCAGTTCTTACAGCAGTGTTGGCCTAGGGAAGTAAACTAAGTTAATCTGCCTGCAAAATCACACTTTCAACAACAGCCATAGTTATATAACACCATCTCTCATCTAGTTTTATTTGAAACATCCTGGGCACAGAAATGTATGATATTTGCACACATGAAAAATTTCACTTTATCAAATCGTTCTCTTTTCTCTTTTGAACAGAAATACATATGCATGTATGAAATAACTTTTTGCCCCCCTTTTTTTTTTTTCCTGAAATGGTAAGAATCATTAAACCTATTGGTATATAATGCTTTACAGCAGCACTTAGTATAATCTAGATCAGTAAAGACAGAAACATTCTTGAGATGCCTAAAACCTACTCAGGGAGGTTTCTAACATCAAATGGAAAGTATAGAGAAAACTTTCACAGCCTCATTTTATGGAAATTCACAGATGTTATGCACTGTGCATCCCAAATTCACCACAAGAATGTTAGGAAAACAAGTTGAATAGTCAGTAATGAATCTTTTCAGAGGGATGAAAACAAAAGGCAGAATGAAAGGCAATTTACTTCCAATAGTTCCTCAAACCTTTTTAAAAATAGAATTTCAAATTACAACTCTGAACCTACCCTTTTGTTTGATTAAAAACATCGCATTACCCCATACAAGCTCATCATCATAAAGACATATTAGTCTATTCTTACTGACAGTGGCTTATTGCTAGCTCAAAATTGAATATTGGTGTTTTGTTATTGAAATGCCAATACCAAAAATTGCACATAAGTCATTAGAATCAATGGCACTTTCAGATTTAATTACACATACAGTCAAAGGAAGACCAGTAAGTCAGAAGTGTTTATCATGCATAAAAAGTCATAATATTAGTTTGGAAAAAAATAAATGGTCTTTGCCAAATAGTTTTTAAAACATTATATTATTTTTTGTGATTTCTATCTTACAAAAGCTACAAAATTATCATATGTAATGCAGAAAGAGCATCTTAAGCCTGCTGCTATGTCACCTACAGATGCTTTGGAAATTCTACTCATGGTTTTCACTTTCAGTCCTATTGCTGTAATTCATCCAAATATATCCAAATTCTGCAAGTGTTTAAGTACATTCTTAAATTTCCATTAAACACAATGAAACATAATCATGGAAATTGTGATTAAACCCATGTGAAATTATAGCTTTAGCCGTCAGACTTCTGACTGCTAGTGTTTTTCCCTCTTCTGCTGGCTTTGCAAACTCAAGATAGAAGAAACCTATGTACAACATGACATCTGGGGAATTGCACCAGAACCACTTTGAAATGCGCCCATTCTTTTTTTCTTCTTTTTTTTTTTTTAATTTTTTTTTAATTTTTTTTTATTTTTATTTTTTTTCTCCACAAATCTGATTGTAAAATGCCTAGCTATCTGCAAGAAAAATCGTTGTGTCTGGGCTCTTCTTAATATCTGGAAATTTTCTGCCATTTCTAGTATTTAAAAGAGACTGCCAGACACTTTTTTTTTTAATGTCTTCCATCCTCAGAAGGAGCCCTGAAAGCAATGCTACTACTTTTCACTTATAATCACCACCCACCATCTCCTAGGAAGTAAAACTCAAGCAAAGGCTAAGTCACTTTTCTTTCCTCTCCCTTCTTAAGAAATTCAATATATTAAAATGCCCAGCCTTGGGGATCAGCTTGTTACCCAGAAACTGAATAGAAGAATATTCACTCCCTTGTTCCAGGTGCTGGGAAAGCTGCTGATTTTGTTTTTCAAAATGCCCAATTTTCCACCTTGAACATACAAGTGCTCCTAGCGGCACTTCTGTCAAGAGGGGTAATTCTTTTCCCCAACACAAATTTGGAGTGGCTGTTGCATAGCTTGCTGTTGAGGACACATTTTGAAAACTTAGTTGTTGAGGACATATTTTGAAAACTTAGTTTCACCATGTCTAAAATAGCAGAAATGGCCATTTCAATGGCAAAAAGACTAGAGAAGAAAGTTCTTTCCTAACGACAATTAAGACAATTTCAAAGATGAAATTCAGGGGTGGGACAAGAAAATTGTCAAAGCAAACAGCAACAAAACCTGGAGGAGGTATTCAGGTTAATATTTTCTTTGTAACATATTTTTTCTGGTAGAAACAGCAGCCTTCCACAGTACTTAATTACAATAAAATCATTATAACAAAATAAGCCAGCTTCTCTGAGGTATTCTGAACTCTAGAAAACTAGATTTTCCAAATATAGAATACAATTACCTTTCAGATATCATTATAAAAGCTATGTTTAAGAGCAGAAATAAGAAGCTCTTACTTTGAAAACTATATAGCAATGAAAATTGCAAACATAGGCCAGGGGTCTCAAGAATTACCTTCAGTCTTCCTTCTAATAAAGTCACAAATAAACACAACATTCCCAATAAATATACAATACAGAAAATACATATTGACATAATGAATGCATTCACATTAATCTAGTTTTTTTCACTCAGATTGATGGAAATGTAATAGAAATAACTGAGAAATTCAAAAATTACTTAGATCTTGTCATACTTTTCCTTTCTTCCTGAGAGTGAGGTCTATTTGTTAATAAATCCAAAGGAACTAATTGCATTTATTTAAAGTTGCAAGAGTATTCTAGTAGAATTCACTCTAAAAGTGTAAATTAAACACTGAGCAAGGGTATTTTCTTTAAAACTTAGAGGTACTATAAGATCACTTAGACATTTAAAATTTTAATAGCATACAATTACAGTCAATTAAAACGGAACATTTACCTTGCAAACCAGGTTCCATAGATACAAGCAGAAAAGACAAAAGAGTTTTCTGCCAAGTTTTCCAGCTCCACGGTTCACTTACTAGGTAAAAAAAAAAAAAAAAAAAGAAAAGAAAATTTATTTAGTCATCAGTTGTACAGAGATTTTTGAAATGGTGATGGTCTCAAAGAAAATGCCTTGAGACATTTTCAAATTATATTTAGCTCCTGTCCGAAAAGGAACAGAAAAATTTTCAGAGCCATAAATGTGTCTGCCAAGGTAAATAGGGTTAGAGGCAATTGAAACTTCCCAATAACACCAAAAAATAGAGTGCATTCATTGGCACTCAAGGGGAGCAGGCTACTGTGCTGCCTAGGGTAGGATAGAGAGATATTTACTGGAGATCTGAAGGTGAAACTGACAAAGCACTAAACCCAAATAGAGACAAAGGGAAAAAAATCACTTCAGCAGTAGGATTAACTTTTTTTCTCTGCTGGTGATAGAACTTGTCACCTCCTTAGATTTCTCCATCCATGTCTTCAACTCTACAGTAAGAAAGGAGGGTTTTAGAATGTCTTGTCGCATTTAATTAAAATCTGAACTTTCCATTTAATTTAACAGGACAGATGAAGAAACACCAGTCTTACACAGTGAAGGTTGAGGAGTTAAGAAAACTTCTCAATCACATGTATGTCAGGACCAGAACATGCCTGAAAGAACCTCAGATTGATAAAACAGAACTATAATGATACGAAAGACTAACAAAGACTGCGCTATTTCAAAATTAATGTGAAAAATGCCATAAGCTCTTTTGATCAACATGTCTCACACAAGCTTTTAAAAAAAACCCGACAAAAATAACAAAATTATTTCTCTTCTTCCATATGCAAATTACTTCTCCAAGACCTTTCCAAACACCTGAAAAAGGTTGCTCTGCATATCTACATAAAACATATTGTAATCTATTTGAGATTGTTCTGTAAAATGAAAAACATCATATAAAAAAGAAATAAGAATATTATTTAAAATTATTTATGTTCTTAGGACATAATACAAATATACAGCAGTTACAGAAAAGATTATATATCACAAGTAAAGGCAAACTTGATGATGAAATATGTTTTATCTAACTCTCATTCAACTAGCTTGTTATGTGGTATAAAAATATATGAGCTAATTCAATGATTTTATATTATAGTTTGGGTTCATAATGGGCAAGGTAAATAGACTAATAGCGAAACTGCAGAGTACATCTGTAACATAAGGAATTTATGCAATTTGCAGAAGCAGTCTTGAAAGACAGCAATGAACTGTCAGCACTCCAGGGTCTGGTACTGTCTCCACTAAACACAAATATTTCCCTAGAGAAGAAGCTCGGTTGCATATTCACCAAAGCTGTAGTTTTGGCATGATATTTGCATCAATTCTCTAATATCTCTGTAGGACATAATTTCAAGGCAAAACAGAAAATTTATTTAAACTCACAGCAACATTTTTCCAGGTTTTCTCTTCCTAGAGAATTGTAACTATTTATTGATTTTGAAATTTTTTCTCTTTGAATTCTTTTCAGAATTAACACACAATGTAATGGAATTGGAAGAAGAAAAAAAAACCCAAAAAATTTAATAATAAAAAAACCCCATAAAACAAAAAAAGAAGCCCAACCAAAAAAAAAAGCGCAAAAACTCCACAAATAAGCCAATTCATCATGACTCTATTTTTTTTTTCATTTAGTTTATGCTGACGCCAAAGAGAAATATTTTAAGTATTATAGTTGTTTCTCTTCACTTTTGGTTGGACACACAACAAACCTGAAACAAGGGTTAGCATGAGATTTTGGAGGCTGAGAGAATTTAACTCTGAACCCTGCATTATATTCTAATTAACCTTCAAAGGATATTTAGATATCAGATCTAAACAGGAAGAAACAAATGCTCAGGAAGTTCCACCCGAATATGAGGAAGAACTTCTTTCCTTTGTGTGTGATTGATCACTATAACAGATCATCCAGAGAGGATGTGGAGCCTCTCTCACTGGAAATATTCAAAAACTGGCTAGATTAAATCCTGCGCCATGTGCTTTTGGATGACCCTGTTCAACAGGGACATTGGACCAGACGACCTGTTGGTCAGATGGCCCTTCCACCTTGAACCATTCCAGATTCTGTGATTTCTCTCCTCACCAAAATGTAGCAGCAAAATGGAGTATCAACATCAAAAACTCTTCCATTAGAGAAGGTCAAGGGTCAAACTGCTGATAACCCAAATGTTGATAACATCTCCATCTCATTACTTCATTATTTCTAAGCGTAAAACTCAAGTGTGGTAGGGGAGGACTAGAGGGTTATTGTTATTAAGACCCTAGTGGGAATTCAACAAGGTCAATACAAGAGACTATCAGAGAAGATAAATTTTTCTGCAGCAAGAAACAGCTTCTTCAGAGATAAGTGATTGCCTAACAGGTGAGACACAAAGGAGCTAATCAGTTTTCCCAGCTGCAGGATAACACTAGTATCTCACCTTAAAACAAGCTGCCCCTGGCCCCAAGCTGCTCTTTAGGTTGTACAGAGCTGATGCTGGTGAAACACACAAGCTTACTAACCAGCTGTGGAAATGGAAGAGGATAGTCAGTGCCAGTGCGTGTACATGTGGGGGAAAATGGGCAATCACATAGGAAAAAAAAATATTGTGTGCCCCTAAGATATAAGATCTGGGAGCTCTAGAGAGCTGCTTTATGAGGGCATCAGCTTAGTTGTCAAGAAAAATCTTAAAGGTAAATATTATTGTGAATGGAAGAGATAAAAAATAGAAAATACTAATAGACAAATAAGGAGGGGCTACTGCAATTTTCTACAAAATCTTTAGTGGTACTGAAAAGCCAGATGATGTTTTATAATAAAAATAAAAATCCAAAATAAAGTAAAATATGAATTTCCTTCATAGACTGCACATGGAAAATGCAGACTGTTTTGCCCCAAATGCTGCTTAGCCTGGATTTTTGAAGGAAAAATTATCTGCAAGAATTCCCCTCTGGTAACTCTGGAATATTTTTGTCTATTGCAACAATGCGTGTGCAGCCTTAATTAAGATACTGCTTTACAAAAGAGAAAAACTGTCATTAAAATCGCAGTTGAAAATTTAACAATATCAAAATCAGCAATTATCAAAACTAGAAGTCACTAAACCATGCTACACAGAGACAGCCTGGAAATATTGAAGATTTCATTGGATTTTTTGAGCTACATGCCAAACATGTGAAATGTACTAAGACAGTCTTGTTCTAAAATCAGACAATAAACATGAGCAACCGGAAAATAAGTCATGTGATCTACATTGACCTACATTGAAAAAATTAAATGTCACAGAGCTAAATGTTGAAACACAACCAAAACATGACTGCTTAAACTGCAGAAAAATAAACACAGCAGATTTACAGAAGGATGATCTACACCAGAAGAAAGAAGATCCTCCAGAGCTGTATCTTGAAAATATAATGAACTAATTTTATATATAAATGAAAGCATGAAAAAAAAAATCTTTATACAATAGAATTTTGTAAGGGTATTGGCCATATTTTTCTTAGGATTAAATCATAGTTCAGGATTTTTTTACAGAAAGAGCTGTTACCCAACATACACAGAGGAGAGGAATAGCTTGTTTTTTAATCTGTTGTATTTCAAAATATCACCTTATAAAGTATGTTTTTCTTCAAGTCCTAATGATTTGAAGATAAAAAAAAATTCACATAAGCTTAAGGTAAGAATAGATTTTAGTTGGATTTTTTGTTTTCTTTCTTTCCTTTTTTTTTTGGGATTTTTGGCTTGGTTTGGTTTGGAGGTTTTCTAATTTTGTGTTTTTTAATTCAATGCATGCTTTAGATTTCTTACAGTACATACACACATATTAAGCCTAGAGACAGTTTTCTACAAAACCTAAATAACCAGCTAATAAAAAAAGTAAACCATGTGGGACAAAGATATCACACTTTCTTTGAAATCAAAATCTCCAAGACTTGGTATTGAAGAAGTTAATTAAAAATATCTGCTGCACACCAAGACAAGACCTTCATGAATCAGCATTAGGAATAGGTAGCAAAACTCTTCAGAACATTTCTGCTTTCAGTACAGTTAGTAAGTTGTGCCAGACCACTGTGACCTAGAGGCTCCTGTATATTCTCCTGTCTCCATTCCATGCTCCCCAGCTACAAGAAGTTCCAGAGAGACACAAAGGAAGTGCAGCTTTGTGAGGTCAGATATTACACTGAAATATCCACAGCTTCCTATTTGGAGTTAAGGGGCATACTATCCTCTCTGGATATGTAGTTGAACTTCAGCATCCTAAACAAGAAAATACTGGTAATAACAAAATCAGATCTTAAAACTGACACAGCTGGAAGTATTGAATTTAAATTGCAGAAAAAATAGATCAAATTTCAATGGAAAAATCCTAAGGATGCTTTAAGCACTGAAATAAAGTGTCTTTGGGAGCTGCAGAACCTCCAATATTTCCGTCATTGTGAAACATTGGTAAATATCTATCAGAAATCACACGTATATGGCCAGAAGGCATCACTGGGGGAGGGCAGTGGGTAATAGGCTCTTAAGAACCCATCCAACTAATCTTCAATGACATTTCCAATAATTTCTAATATTTAAACAATACAAACTGGATGTACTTTTTGGTTCATATTTAACCATCTCACCTAAAATACACATCCTTCATCACTTTATTTGAGGTATCAGAAGTGATCAAAAGTGAACAAAGGCAATATTTTTAGCTTCAAAATCAAGATAAAACTGAAAAAATGTCAAATATTTTCCTTTTAAAATATCCTCAAGATTCATGTAATCATAAATTACTACAGTTCCTATTCTAATGATTATGCATGAGATTTTTTAAAAGTAATCAATTTTAGACTTGTGAAGCTAAATTATTATCTCATTTCCTTTCCACAAAGCCCATAAAAATTTATTGATGTTTTTGTTCAAAATATGGATGGATTTAGCAATAAAATAATTAACGTCTGTTATTTGCTTCATTTTTCATCATCCTATAACCTTCAGTTACAATGAATGCTTAGTAAGTCTAATATTTAATTACTAT